TAAATGTTCAATCTGGAAAAGTTGAGATTAACTGAAGATAATGTTACACAAATTAATAGGTTGGAATACGTGTTCTTATGATGTACACAGATCACTGTAACTTATTCCGAACTGAATAAATGTTTGAAATAAGCCTTAGTTTGGTTTCATTATTTGTCAATACCTAATTGAGGGAAAAAATCTGTAGGCCCCATCCAAATTAAAAATACCACAATGGCCCGATATGGGGCTGAATCGGCTACTTTTTGAGGGGTAGTTTTTAAGAGGGCCAAAATTGGAGGGGGCTGTTTTGGCTACTGAAAAATCCAAAATGGCCCTAGTGTTTTCCATATTGACCCTTTACATGGTCTAATTTGGCCCCGATGCAAGGGTCAATTTAGCCACAAATTTTGGTACCAAAACAGCCCCATCTCAGTGGGGCTGAATTGGCCCCAAAAACAGTACCATTCTGGACTCACCCGTTTCGGCCCCATTTTTGGGGCCAAATTGGCTCTTTTCATTTTACAGTGTGCAACTGAAATGCTAACAAGTTTGACTCCAGACTGAGCTGTTGGAAAATCATTAATCCAATGCTGATTATTAAAGGCTTTGCTATCAGAGGTACCAATCTTGCAGTGAAAGCTTTTTTTCATGATCTACATGAAAACATGACTTCAATGCATGCAAGCATGCATTTTACTTCATTTAGTGCGTGCGTGCATTTTACTCTTGATTTTCCGGCTTCTCGTTATATCGTTTGATCATCCTTTCAATTAACGCAGCGCCAAAAAGAAAAGAAAAGAGGAAAAAGGAATGCTGAAAAAAGCGATGAACATCAAAAAATAAAAATAAAATAAAAAGTAAAAAATTTTGGATTGAACCTCGTGGAAGGAGAATCTTAAAATTAAATTAAATAGGACTGGACCTCTCTAAACTATTCTTAGGTATTGGGGGCAAGAAATCGCTTGTGTGTCAGTACTCATACTTGTAAAAAAAAAAAAGGACCCTCGTACCAATAGTTGACCCAACGTTTGAGCATTCCTCTTCAGTATCGCCGTCAGAGCCTCATAACCAAACGAGACTCTAATGCTTCTGTTCGTTGTTTCTTCCTTAGTAACCATAACGGAGTCTCTCTCGTCAGGGTTTGTAAGACCTCAGCGGTACTACTCTAGCAATGCTTCCCTTTTCACTCGGAATAGAAATCCGGTCGTAATGTGTCTTAAATTCATTTAGCAGACGAGGTACAAGCGGGGGAAGGGGGGTTGGCTAGGGGTTGTCCCAAGGTTATAGGATCAGGAGTCAAGGAACAGTGAAGAAGGGTTCTTAAATAGGCTAATTAAAAACTTCTTGACAAAAATATGAAAAGCAATGTGAAGATATTGGTATTTTGGGCAAATATTCAGCAACTTTTTAGAAATTTTCAGCACCTTTCTTTAAATTTGTAATATCCCCGGGCTATAATTTAAGTCTCCCACTTTTCACGCCCATCCTCGAATCCCCTATTTTCACATTTTCAAAAAAAACCTTACTGGAGTAGCAAGTGAAACAATGCCACAAGCTAAGCCTGTACTGATGCGACCAGAGTACAACATAGTCCGATTCTGCGCAAAGCTAACGACGAGCCATCCAAGTTCAAAGCGAACAGAACAGAGGAGTAAGGTCCTCTTGCGACCAAACTTATCAATCGCCCATCCACTTATGGGACATCCAAAAATGGCACCGACTGCCTCCAAAGACTGCAAAAAAGGAAACAAAAAGGGGTTTGTTTGGGTTTGTTTTTTGTTTTACAGAAACAGCCGTTGGATGCCCTTAAAGGGTGCGTGTAATCATCTTCATATCAATTCCGTGGAAGAGCCGTGGAACAATGAAGAAAAAAAAATCCATTTTCATACCATAACAGACACCCTACAAAGTTGTGTTGCGTTCAGTCAGGTTCAGTTCGTTAGGGGAATAAAAAACCTTTTTCCTCATTTTTTAATTCTATAAAAGTTCTAATATTTCACCCCTGTTATATTTATTCATATTATTCAAGCATTGAACATGCTTAAGATTCAGCATTAGAGATTCTGCGCTGATTGCGCTCGATACTTAATTTGCACTTGATCAGTAAAGGAAGAACGCGGCTTTGTCAGATTAAACTTGTCCCCAAGGTGGATCCCATAGAGCACTTAATCCAACAAAATTCTCCACTTTGGTGACAATTAGGCCCGGTTCAAACGTCGAATTTACATGTGCCGAACCTAATGGATCCTAATAGCTATTTAGGTCGACCCAAATTATAAAAGTTCGGATCGACTGTTGGTTCAAACGGTGGAACTTTACATATACCGAACCTAATTCGTGGCGAAAACAAATATCATCCTTACTGCTAAAAAAGGGCGAAATAAACTGAAAAATGTAAAATTCACAAAGCACAAATTTTAAGAGAAAAGGCGGACTGCAAGCAGTCTTCTAGAGTCTACGTATACTCAAAAACACAAGTGTCGTTCCTAATAATTAGGTTCGGCACATGTAAATTTCGACGTTTGAACCGGGCTTAAGTCGGCAACCGGAATTCCAAAGGTCACGAAAGGTAAACATTTGAAGTGTTGAACAATATCCCAGATCATGCAACGCAAAGAACTCAAAGGAANAAAACAAATATCATCCTTACTGCTAAAAAAGGGCGAAATAAACTGAAAAATGTAAAATTCACAAAGCACAAATTTTAAGAGAAAAGGCGGACTGCAAGCAGTCTTCTAGAGTCTACGTATACTCAAAAACACAAGTGTCGTTCCTAATAATTAGGTTCGGCACATGTAAATTTCGACGTTTGAACCGGGCTTAAGTCGGCAACCGGAATTCCAAAGGTCACGAAAGGTAAACATTTGAAGTGTTGAACAATATCCCAGATCATGCAACGCAAAGAACTCAAAGGAATAGCAAATCACGTGACAGCTTGTAGATCCAAAGTCTTATTCTATGTCTTATTTACTTTTTTCTTTTCTTTTTTTTTCAGATTAACAACTTTGTTTTTTTCGCATTACTCATTTGCACACTGCTAATAAATTAAAACTACAATTTACTCACGGAAAACCATGATCCCTGTGCACTGGTCAAACGAATGGCAGAATTTGTGTCGAGACTTGTCAAATCCACAAACGCAGATGAGGAATATCCATACAATAACCAAAGCTTATCGATCCAAGAGCAGCTATAAAAGAAGAAAGAAAGGATCCTCTAATTTTGTACTTTTTAGCCATTCTTCTGAGATGTAAAATTGCGTTTAACCGTCGACGAGGATGCTGTAGACAAAATAACCTTCCGTCCAGGCAGGAAAGTCTTCACTTTTTTCACAATACCGATTCAGTGTCATCGGAGATCTGATGCAACAAGCGTGTTCTAAATCCTGGGACTCGACAGAACAATGAAAATCACATGGGCCCAGGAGGGGGTCCTCCGGATATGATTTAACTTTTAAAATCAGCATCTTAAAATTTAGGAAAACACTAATAATGATGAAATTCCGATCAAAAACTGGCATGAAATTGAATGTTTGTGTTCGTTTAGTCACTGCATCAGACCAGCCATAAAAGAATGTATTATTTCCCGACTGTATATGAATTGCAGTAAGTTGTAAAATTCTTGCGCTTTTTTTGGTTCATCAACTGAAGAACCTCAATCGCTCATTATTAACTTTTGTTTACCATGTTCCATTCGACGTTTGCCTAATTTTTCCCGATTTAGTCAGGAGCTGATCGGCTCCGATTTAGTCCACTGCGAAGACAGGCCGAAGTGAAAACAACGATTTCTCCATTTATACCATCCCAGCTTGTTTTCTGCGCGTTATTATTTCAACGTTGCGGGTTGAAATAAGCAGAGTTAAATAAATTGAGGAAAACTGTGCTTTTCTAATCATCATCTTTTATATATTTGCTTTTTTTTATTATTATGACTTTATTTTTTATTGAACTGTATTTTATGTTTTTACCCTCGACGTTTTCAGGTACACACGTGCGTATCGTGCGTACAGGTAGCTACGCCATTGTGGCTGAGTTTAATTCGCTTACCGAGTGACACGTTGATAAGCCAACAACAGAGGCTGGAGGCATAATTATGGTATTTTCAATGCCTTTTATTTCTATTCTGTTTACTACATGCTCCAATTTATCTTAAGTTCTTTAAGTTGCTCATCATATGTCTTGAAGATCCAGGCTTTCCTTGTCTCTAATGGGACTTTCTCTAGACCATGGGTTTCTAAGAATAAATAATTAGTAACATTACTTTATCTAAACTCTCTTTGATGCAAGTAAAGATGGTCAATTCGGTAAAATTCAAAGTCAGATCATTCTTTAAAATCTACGATTACTCGCTCAGGGTCAATAATTACCTCTGCGTTAATAATACTAAGTGGGATTTAAAAAAAACTGCCCACCTACCCCTCCCCTACGCCAACATTAACTCTTACTTCTCGTTTAGAGCAAAATGTTGGCTTAGGGAGGGGTAGATGGGCAGATTCCAAGAAACCTAAAGTGGTCCCGCTAATCTTTCCTAATCGCTTATCCGTAAGATCTTATGTGACTATGTGACTTCACAAGGACACCGTCACACACCAAGTGGGTCGAGAAACGTGTAATCGGAAAAAACTGTCCCACCTCCCTTATGCCAGACAACTATTTCAACACTCACTATATAACTTCCTTAGCCCTGTGCGAATAAAGATTATCAAAGGAAAACAATCACGCTCCGAGCCGTGCAATTGCTGTTAAAAAATGATAGTTATTATATAATTAAATTATAATTAAGGTGAAGGCTATCCCCGAATTCCTGTAAGCCATAAATCTGGAGTTTTATACCGAGAACTGTTTCGCACCGCAGAAAGCGGACATGGGTTATATAATATATTTTGTTTTCACAATCCTATGGAAATGACGTCATCAGTTACCCCAATAGTGTCTTATTTTTATATTTATTTAATTAAGTACTTATTTATTTATTTATTTATTTATTTATTTATTTTTGAGATCGACCTTCGGCTTTGTTTACACGTATGTGATCCACCAAATATAACCAACGTTACTTGAAGTCAAACCAAAGGTGTATACTACCATCGGATCCCATAATTCAGTTTCCTCTAACTGCAAACGTATCTGTCTGTTGCACCACTTGTTACCCGACGAGTCACAGCCCCATTTACTGCGGATCCTGTAAAGATATTATCTACGTCTATAAAAAAAAGTCAGCCAATATTATATTTGGGCCCTCAAAAGGCCCATGTGTCTATACTAACACTTTCTAGAACATGTGATTATACAGTTGATAGACAGGGCCATAGGAGAGAAAGAGTTGAGGAATAAGAAAGGAAAATGGATGTATAAATTAAGAACGCTTCGCCCGGCCTCGGGACTTCGTGAAGATGATGGTTTTTATGGCCAGAACAGAAAGACCGGTGTGGGCGTGCGCAAGGGATGACGTAACATTTTCGTTAGGCTTTTTAAAATAGGCAGTCATTTCAGTTGTGTTACACTTGCCTTGCCTTGGCAATTCAGCAATTTAAAAAGTGATGTACGTTTCTGATACGTTAACAGCTACTTAGTCAATCTGAAGATCACTGAATGTGATCTAACTGATAGGTGGATAAAAAAAAGCAGTGTGATTGTAATTGATTTACATTTGTGTTTATGAGGACGGGAGAGAGAGATGCTTGTGAAAATTTCCCGGACTTAGTTACCTCTTTTGATGATTGCCGTAGATTTCCCAAAGATCTGCGTCGCCCTCCACTGTCAGCCTGCTCTCGTCCCCGTAAAATATGTCAAACGACAGGTACTGACCATAGTAGTCGTGCTTACGACCTCCGTAGGTGTTGACAACTGTATAGAGGTGGTTACCATGGGGGATGAGTTTCCAAAAGCAGCCTTTATTATGGGGAGTGATGTAAGGATGACCGCCCGGCATTAACATGCCAGCTGTCACTTGCCAAGTGATCGGCAACTTCCTTCCACCAGGAATTACTCGCGTTAGACACCAGGGCCCGGTTGCATAAAACGTCCGTAACAACTACGGGTACACGTACGTGCACTCGTAACTTAAGTCAGTTGCATGAAATCACTTAAGTGGTCCACTTTGGGAATTCACTTAAGTGGTTGCACTTACGATTTTCGTAAGTGTTCACTTAAGTGTCATTTATGCAACAAAAATTGCGGGCGTTGCATAAAACTTTTTTTACGGGAAAAATAGCATGTACATTTACGGGACCTATGTGGGTCCCGTATCGTTACTGTTTTTGCTAAATTTAACGAGATCTTTTACTGAAAAGTGAAAAAAAGTATTTTTCTTCATATAATTCGTTCTAATGCGCTTTGTTAACCTCTGATGTACACTTTTGTGAAAAAAGAAGACGAACTATCATTTTCAGTAGATATTGAAGAAAAATAACGTTTGCATGCAAATTCAATTTTTTGAGAGGCTTAAAAGTGTTCGAAACGACTTTTAACTTTCTTTACACTCACCGATGGTTAACTTAATTTAAAAAAATAAAGTGAGTCAAATTAATAATTAAAAGTACTATAACAAAGTTACGTGTGCCCTTAAGTGAGCTCGTAAGTTACCACGTAAAACAGAAACTTACGAGAGTGCTAAGTGTGTTCCATGCAACACCCGTAAGTGTACCCATAACGGATTCGTAAGTGACCTACTTAAGTGAGCACTTAAGTGCAGGTTTTATGCAACCGGGCCCAGATTCCTGCCATGGAACGATCGTAATCTGGTATTTTCAACACAGCGGTCATATAGGCATCTGTTACTGGGTTCACATCTGGGTCAAAGTAATTCAAAGCCATCTTATTATGACTCTTATCGAAACGGCCAGCACGAAGAAATTGAATGAGTTCCTTTTGCTGATCGCGTAGAACGTTCTGAGCGGCAAACATGGCTTTTCGGTTGGGTTCAAGCTCGTCTGGCAACAAAGTGGCCACCTCCTGCAGAATCACGTCCTTCAGAACAGCTATCTTTGCATACAGCTCGATGTATCTCAATGTCTTTTTTGCCTCGTTTCTCTTATTGACCCTAAGAAGGCGTTCTATCTCACTTGACAATGTTCCCATAAATTTAAGGCCAAGATACAGTGGCACGTTCCTCTCAAGTGACGCTGCTTGGGCGACGGTTAGCTTATTGCCTGACTGAGCAAGCCTATCCACGTATGCCTTCGAGAAGTCGAACGTTCTAACGATACCTCGAGCCTTATTACTGAGGGCCTGGTCGTAAAACTGAGCCAATGCCTCGTTTATTTCTTCTCTTACGATTTGCCCGATAGATTTCTTTTTGTTTCCTCCTATTCCAAAAAGACTCAGAAACCCAGAGACGAAGCTCAAAGCTACGGCAACAATTTGTCCAGTGGGACCAGCAAGTGCTGCAAACTGACCGACCATATTGAGTGCTCCCTGTACTGCACCTATGGGATCGTCTCCTGCTTTAGCAAACTTGTCAATGTTTGAGGCAGCGGATTGAAGGGTCTGCGTCATAGTCGCTCTGTCTCCGAACGAAAGAGTATTCCATTTTCCCTTTAACTCAGTCAGACCTTTCTTGGCGCCCGTGGCTTTTGATCCCAATGTCCTAAAGACATTTTTCAGTTTTTTGAAAGGGCCATTCGGAACTAGATGGAGGGCAGTAAAAGAAAATAGCCGTAGTGGTCATAATGGTTAAGATAATTAACTGTAAGGATCTTTTGGTGATTTGAGAGATCAAAATGGGAGTGAGGGATACAAACAGACCGTAAATAAAGAACACGTGATAGAGAGCATTGAACGAAAAAGAAAAAGAGGGACAAAGCACTTAACAAGCACTTCGCGGATACTCATAGTTGACTATCGCATCGCCGACACCCCGATAATACGAACGCAGAGTATTTTCAAGGAGTTGTATTAACTCCTCTACTGGGGTTAATTTAACTCCTTACAGTGGGGTTGTTTTTTGGGGAGTTATTTTAACTCCTAAAAGGAGTTTAAAGAACTCTTTTTCAGGAGTAAAAAGAACTCTTTTTCAGCAGGAGTAAAAATGACCCCAAATTTGGAGTTAAATTAGGAGTTAAAGTAACCCCCAAAAAGGGGTTATCCTGTACCTAAAATTTTTACTCCATTTTTGGAGTTATAATTATAACTCCCTAAAAATTAAGGTGCAATAACAGCTAGTACGTGGCTGAAATGAAATACAGATTTTGAGCAAAATGAATTCTCACCAATATATATCACGAACTCTGGTTTAATTATAATTAAGGACACCTGCTCAGGTGTCTGCTATATGTTTACCACTAAGTGGCATCGAGTTTTGCAATTGTGATGTAAAATTTCAAATAAAATTCTTGGAATTTCGCATGTTCAAGACCGTAAATAATGGGATAGAAACAGTTTAAGCAGCGGCACAATTTTCAGTGAATGCATGATGTACAGACAGTCACGTAACTGGATAAAAAATGAAACATTCATGGAATGTCGTAAGAATTATCACCTGTCCTCAGGCTCATCATTTGAGTGACACATTTCTGTTGGGAAACCATCTGGAACTTATTAAGTCAACTAATTAGTTTTATTATAGTAAAGTTTTTTTACATCCTTTTTACCACGGTTAAAGCCTTTTACCAACGTCAAATCCGAAGTGTGACCACAGCCAATGTCTCCGGAGCGTTTTTAAGTAGTTTTGACCATGCAACTTTAAAAATTCATATCTCTGCTGTTATTCCCAGTTCCTTATAAAGCTATACCTCATTGAAAAGGGCAAAAATTAAACTTTCAGAAAAAAAATATTTGGGTCTCAAGAAACCCATAATATTCTGGGAAAAAATTATAAGCAAGCATATTTCTGCATAATTATTTTAAAAAAATTTTACGAGTGTAATTTTGCCGGGAAAGTTGTCTAGGGCCATTCCATTTAATATCCACCCCCCCCCCCCCCCCCATAAAAAAAAACCTTTTTTTTTTACCCCCCCAACAAAAATTTTTTTTCTAAACACACCCCAAAAAAAATAAAAGTAGGTTTCTACTTTCCCCCTCCCCCCCACCACAACACCCACAGTATGAGTCCCTTACCCTCTCACCCCCCACACACAATCCGTATTAAAGGCAATTCTTCTTATATCCTCCCCCCTCCCCGCCTATAGATGACATCAGTTATTTCATGACCCCTCCGAAACAATTTCTTTAATCGACGGACCCTCAGAAAAGCCTATGGATGAGTTCACTTTCACCCGTGCCCCCTCAGAAAAGCCTATGGATGAGTTCACTTTCACCTGTACCCCCTCAGAAAAGCCTATGGATGAGTTCACTTTCACCTGTACCCGCAGAAAAGCCTACAGAAGGGTTTACTTTCAACAGTAACCCTCAGAAAGACCTACATATGAGTTCACTTTCACCAGTACTCACTCGGAATGCCTATGTATTCCCCCTCGGAAATACCTATTGATTTACGTTTACTGTCAACAATATCCCTCAAAAATACCTGACATATTTTTACTTTTACCAACACCCAGAAAGTGATCAGCTCGTAAAATAATTATCTTTTATCTATTCTATCTTTTTTTTACCAGCACCCAGAAATTGATGCAATCAAGAATACGTTAACAGTGCATTAAGCCATCAAATAAGAGATTTATATCCCATTTAAAAAATATGATGATCAAATCTGATTTCCTCAAATAGTAACAATCTCTAATTGAAAAATGTTTCCTGATTACGTGGAAACTAGATGAAACTGCATGACTACTAAAGCCGAAGATTTCTTTCAACGTTTAACAATTCAAGATAATGTGGTCATAATAACGAGGTGACGTTACGTTATTAACGGGACTGCCGTAAGGCGTGGTTCCACCGTGTACATTGTTCCAATTTTGAACGGGTTGTGCCCATATTTTTCTTCTGGATCCTTTTCCTAAGGAGGGAGGCACTCAGACCATTTTTGTGATCGGTTTTTCGGTCTTCGCATCGAAAGTATGCAGTTTTGCCGTGTAATTTCTTCCTATTTAGCATATGGTTTTCGATTTTTAAACAACATCGAAGCAATTATTATTCGTTTTTGTTAGAAAAAAATTCCCCAAAAGAGGATGTGATTTTGTGCTTTTGTAACAGGCCTCCTAAGTTCATGTGTCAATTAATTAATATGTCAATCAAATCAATCACTATAATGTCATCTTTGTTCATCTTCACGAAACGTTTCAGAAAATCATGCACGTTTGTTTGTTTGGTCTGTTTGATTGGAGTCATCTTTCTTTATGCGCAGTTTGCCGGAAACCAAGTTTGGGAGAACAGGGATTTTGTACACAAATCCTGGCTCCTCAACAAACACCAAATCCACTTCATCATCGTCACGGTGACAGGACTGAACCTCTGCTTCGTACCAACCTAATTGAAGAAACATTTGATAAATCTAGTATGCTCGATCATTTAAAAGTTATAAATTTGTATTTAAATGATATTTAATGAAAGCTTTTCACCTTTTGGTTAACGGATTTCCTTATAGTTATGTATGTAAGTAAAGAAAGTCCCATGATTTTGATTTAACGTGTTAATTTAATTTCCATGGTTATTAGTTAAGTCACGCTTTCGCTGCAATTGATTCTCACACGGAATACATCGATTTTTATCGAACGAATCGCAGTGGTATAGAGGTATTAAACAGCAAAGAAACAATTTTACAAACATCTCTCCTACTGGTCTCTCATCTATAAAGGTTCCCAGGACACTAGTTTGTTGCAACCTGAAATGTGATATTAGGGGCTTCCAGGTGTTGACATAGCACAAAGACTACCCCTAATTTTACTTACCAGCTGGCCATTCCGTCTCAGAAAGGTCTTCCTTTGTCCATTTCATANAATGTCATCTTTGTTCATCTTCACGAAACGTTTCAGAAAATCATGCACGTTGCGAGCAATGTATAGTTTGGTTTGTTTGATTGGAGTCATCCTTTCTTTATGCGCAGTTTGCCAGAAACCAAGTTTGGGTGAACAGGGATTTTGTACACAAATCCTGGCTCCTCAACAAACACCAAATCCACTTCATCATCGTCACGGTCACAGGACTGAACCTCTGCTTCGTACCAACCTAATTGAAGAAACATTTGATTAATCTAGTCTCCCTAAACAAATGCTCGATCATTTTAAAGTTATAAATTTGCATTTAAATGATATTTAATGAAAGCTTTTCACCTTTTGGTTAACGGATTTCCTTATCGTTATGTATGTAAGTAAAGAAAGTCCCATGATTTTGATTTAACGTGTTAATTTAATTTCCATGGTTATTAGTTAAGTCCCGCTTTCTCTGCAATTGAATCTCACACGGAAGACATCGATTTTTATTGAACGGATCGCAGTGGTATAGAGGTATTAAACAGCAAAGAAACAATTTTACAAACATCTCTCCCACTGGTCTCTCATCTATAAAGGTTCCCAGGCCACTAGTTTGTTGCAACCTGAAATGTGATATTAGAGGCTTCCAGGTGTTGACATAGCACAAAGACTACCCCTAATTTTACTTACCAGCTGGCCATTCCGTCTCAGAAAGGTCTTCCTTTGTCCATTTCATATCGACCCTTGCACCAATTTCAAAAATTTCCTCGTAGAATTCCAGTTTCTTTGTGGTGGCCTTGGATAGCTTCAATCGGTTGGTCTTAAATTCTTGAGCAACACAATACTTGTACGTTGCTTCCCTCTCTGTGTCGAATTCTATCCCAACTTCATCCTTCTCTTTGTCATAGTTCTTTACAGTCCCGACATACCAACCTAGCGATAAATTTATTAAAGAAAACACTGTCCAGTCTGAAATTTACCCAACTTACATTTCGTATCAACGACCCTATCAACAACTTAAATTCCAAAAAGCAATGATTTATTATAGGGGCATTTACCGTACCATATATCTAAACTGCAGGATTTCAAAGAGGAATACAGCATATTTATGATTTTTCCAAACTAAATTTCTTACCCGTTGTCCATCCTGTATTTCCAACTTCATTTTTGCTCCAATAAGCCAAAACCCTTTTGCCAACCAATCTCATCGCGTCCATCTGGTAACCATCTTCTGACCTTGGTGTTGTCCCCGAGTTGTTGTTGGCTAACCGTATGCGCTCCTCGTAAAGGCCGAGTTCAACTTTCAAAGGCTCCAGCACTTCCTCTAGGTTGTCTAGAGTAATTCCTCGAGCGACAGTCAGAAATGAACTTTGCCTTCTAGCTGCTATGGAGGCAGTATCTCTGGGCCTTTTCGTGCTTAAGGAACTTTGCGCAGGAGTTGAAAACGCCCTCCTTTTATGCAGTATTCGTGGATCTGCCAGGTACAGGGATTTCTCTGCAGTTATTAGTGACGTGACTGCGGTAACAAGATTCACTGTGGCCTCTAGTTCCTTTTGAAATGCTAAATAAGCTCTCCCCGATTTATTCCCACCCTTATTACCAGTTCATCCTTGGTGCTGCAGTCTAAGATGCTGTGAAAGCGCAGGATCTCACGGAGTTTGTACACGGACAACTTTGAAATTTCGGAGATTGAATTCGGCAAAGAATCGAGCTGCCCGCTGTACACGTTTAATGGAGGTAGTAGTTCACATTCCATCTTCTCTACAAGGCACTTGACGCAGTCATGCTTTTTCCCTTCTGCTGGGAGCTTTTTTTGGAGACATAGTGCTTGCAATTCGTCCTTACTTTTCTCTTGATAAAGTTCGTGTTGTGCCCAATATTCTCTCTCCTTGTCATTAATAAATGATTTATCGTTTTTTTTTTCCTTGAAGTCTTTAAAGAACACGTTGACATCCTCCTCTGTGCACCAGCTAATAAACGAAATACATGGCAAAATTGTTTCCACTCCATAAGAAAACACCTCACACGTCAGCACTAAGATTTTTGATGGTAGAAACGCTGCAGGTGTTATCAACAACCTCTGTGTGTAGCTGTTGTAATTTCTCAAGCGGCAAGTAATGCATCTCCCCACCTGTTTTGAGCCACCTCACATAACCAGGAATGGGTTGCATGGTAAAACACTTCTCTTGTCTTGAACGTGAAATGTCAGGATTGAATATAACCGTGGAATACTTGTCGGACCAACAAGTGCGTTCGCCTTCTTCGTCGTAGCTGTTTTGCACAATTTGGTAGTCATCTCTGTAGCTCCCAACAAAGTTTTCGTTTAAGTTCCAGACGGTAGCTACGTCCCTCCACAATTTTGTTTTAACAGGCTGGTATTGACCCTCATCCTCGTTTTTACGAAATTCACTTTTACCAAGAAAGGTCACGAGTTCCTCTTCATCGACGAAGATAAAATTCTCATCTGCGCCAATTCCTCGTAGAGCGTGACATGGATTTCCACCATACTGTGTGTACATTAAGCACTGCCTCACTTTTTCAGCCATATGCTCCATGTTTTCTTTATGCCTGGTGTCGCCAATCTCGTACTCACTGTACACCTCCTTACTTGGAAAACTGTTCATTGGAAAGGGCGTGGTTGTGGACAGCGTGTACTCGCTCTACCGGGTTTCTTTTGCTATGGTATTCTGCAAACGACTTCTGGGTGACAGTCTTTAATTGAAGCAGTCTTGCCAAACGAACCAACCACATTCTTACCAGAGTACTTGCTGGAGCCTCAGAGGGACCATTGTCCACCACAAACACAAAATGTTCCTTAAGCTTGTTAGTCTTTGGATTTCGAAACAAATGGTCCAGTGCAGGGTTATTGAGAAAAAGGAAAAGCTCATTGAAGACTCTTTGGACGGTCTCTGGCTCGAAATAAGACAAGTTCAAAAGGGTGGCTGCTGTTCCTGTCCTTCGAACATTGTGTAAAATATTGTTCTCCTCTTCTTCTTCCAAAATGGTTTCCGTTTTCCAGAAAAGATGAGTCATAGGGGTAATGGCATTATGAGCTAATCTGCTCCAGTCGTGGTCCACAGTGTTTTGTGTAATACAGTACAAACAATTTTTTTTCTTCAATATCTAAGCAAAACAGCCTGAATATCGGTCGAAAATATAGAGCGACTAACAATTTTCTACAAATTTATTTTGTGATCGTATCGGATTATGCAAATGAGGCCAGAGCTAATTAGCATAGCGAAACTAGATACTTTAGCGTCACTTTGTGGCCCGATATTTACCTGCAAAAGACGCTTTATTTTTTTAGTTTCTCAGCGAAATATCGAGTCAAAAACAGGCAAACATGAATTCACTGATATAAGTGATCAGAATCAGCAAGGCTTTGAAGGCAAAAAGCTGAGCGGGACGGAAGTCACTGCGTTTGAAGAGAATTTGTCCCAGACATTGCCGACTCGGGTAATTGAAGGCAAAGATTCTTACTGTTTTCTTACCTCTATTTTCGCGTTTGCTTTGCTTGTTATCCTCCAAAATCTTTCAAAACAATTTGCTTGACTTGCATTTGGTTGAAATTTGTCGATATAAGCTTTCATTCTATGCAAAATTAAAACATCCCAAATACTTCTCACTACGCAGCGCCATTTTTCTACATTTTTGAAAAATCGTTACGTGAAGCTCAAAACTCTCAGGTGGCTGGAACTAAGCACATAATTCGCTAAAGCTATTAACTTCCTGTGGGCCACATTTGGAGGTAAGCGGAAGTAACGCGATTTTTTGCGATTTTTTTTTTTCGTAGTCGATGCTGCGGCATCGACGGCCCTAGGCGCCGGAGACAATTTATAATGAAATATTAAATAACCTTTTTGGAAAAAAAGCTAGCAGGAGTAAATGACGGTAGTTGACATTAACAGAACGTATGTTTCTTGGTAAATCTTAAATAACCAGCACCCCTTAGGTGAGTTGCAACCTGTTGCAAAAACACTAAAAACTTTGCCTTATCAGTTTGTGCTTGCTAATCCCCCCGCCCCCTCCTCCCTTTGTAAAAGCTGTCATAAATACAAGACCATGGTCAAAACTTGAAGGAACAACTTTGATTAGGGGTGAGGGATGGGGTGAGTGTTAACACAGACGTGTGACTAGCCGCAAAACCGTGAAAAATGACGAATATAGTCAAAGGTACTTTATGTATGGAAGAGATATATGAGCGCCCAAAGGACGTGAACACACTACCTCTTCTAGCTCTCGTTGTCGTCGAAAGTTTCCTCTGCGACTGCAAATCGTTTTGCCTTTGTTATGCTTTCTCCTGAAACATAAATTACGTGTTTAAGTTAGTAGAAGAGGTTAAAAATACTCTAAACCTTCACCATTAAATGTGGTTGTGACAACATACCTTGGCATTCTACGTGTGAAGCGAGAAGAAACGACAGCAAAACAAATGCAATATTCATTGTTTCGAGATCACTTCAAAGACAAAACGAGGTTTTTCCTGACCAATAACTGCAACGTAAAGATGCAAGTGTTTATTGAAGCGAATTTATGATCTGGATAGGGAAAGCAGTTAAAGCAAGTTACTGTCAAATATTTAGGTTTCCGTTTCTGTACGTTTGGGTACCTCGCAATTTTGTCCAGTTTGTCATTGGTAGACTTTGGGTCAAGGATCTGCTTTAAAAGGTTTGTTTTGAATTAAAACTGGCATTCTTTTTCCAAAACACAGGGGTTAACGTTAAGCCTAGTTTATATATGCACTGCAGTGATCGAGCACATTAGTAGTTTTTTTTTCCGTTCCCTTTTACCCTAAATAAAACTGTTAGTACTTTATATCTTTAAAGCATGTGAATTATACCTTTAATACAGGAATGAAACGTAAATGGTCTGTAATATAAAACATGATAAGTGGCAAAAAGTATAAAAAGAAAAGACAGCGAAAATCCACTTTAAAAAGGTTCTCTTTATAGTTGCCCGATAAGTGACTGTACATGAAGGCTATATATCACATTCAGGTTTCGTAAATGAACCTTTTCACAGGGGAAGAGGAAAGGGTAATTGACGCCTATTAAACCCGCAAAACCGCCAAACTTAGCGATAAAAATCAACGAATAGAAATACTCACTTTGGTGGTCAAAAGAGAGTCGAAATTTATTCTGAATTTGTTGTGAAGTTGTGGTTGTCCTTGTACTTATTTTGTAGAAATTGCACCTTTTGATGAATAATCCAACACATAAATTAATTAAAGAAAATATATATTCATATAATGTGATAAACAGAAACTTCCAAAATCTTCCTTATTTACTGACAAAAGAAAAGAAAGAAAATAGAAAAAGAAAAGGAGAAAGAGACGACCTTCACAAAGAAAAAAGGAGAAAGAGACGACCTTTCACAAAGAAAAAAAAGCGATACCTAGAATAGACATGCAGTACATTTACATTTACCGCGTACAGCCTACCTCTCACATTTCAGGATTATTGGCTACTAAGAACACAAAATCAGTGATTTCAAGGGCAATAAAGGTAAAAGTGATCTCAACTATGGCTTAAAACACAAAACCAAACAAAGGCACTGATTCGTCCAACGAATGCCTCATACCAACCTTATTAGCACTTCTCCAGAACTTCGAGATCTGATCCCTTTGTCTTGACGTTCATCTGGTCATGGAGAAGTTCATCCTTGTACATTGATTATATTGATTATTAGGAATTCGTGCCTCCTCCTAATTGGCTCTTTTTCAGTAGAAGAGGCGGTTACCAGGTGTGACAAACCATTTGAATCGGCCAACATGCAAGTTGACATCATAATGACATTTCCAGAGCCCCTATGG